GTAATACTAGCAATACTAAACCATTTTTAAAAAGTGGGATTTCTTTCTACAAGTTATTAGATATTAATTACAGATGTCTAGTCAATATAATTATGTCTAAATTTATTAAATGTACTTGTTTAGTGTTTAGTGCCAGCACCATAAGTCCAAACAAAAAATAGTTATATCATTTTTATATTAAAAATTATTTATCCTAGACTTAATATTTAATATTAAAATGAAGTACATGTGGATTAAAATATAGATTTAATTATAGATTATTTTTATTAATCTTTAAACATGATTAACATTCACGATTACATTAAAATTTTGACCAACACATTTTCACAATTTCAATTATATTTAATAATATATTATTTCTGATGCACTGGATATTAAAATATTAATATTTGGATTTAAAGTATAAAATTATGCAAATTATGGTCTTAAATGTCGTTAAATTTATTGTAAAACAACTCATAAACACAGATATTATATATTTTATTCATATTATTCGTGTCATGAATCATGAAAAAAGTCTTTAAATTTGTTTTTTGAAGACATGTTAAATAATTTTGGTTAAAATAAAAAAGAGTGAGATTATTGGAAAGTATTAAAAATGATACAAAAAAATGTTTGTCGGTTTTAAAATTGTTTTCTCATTATATATTTACATGATTTATAGGTTATAAACTGAGATGCTGAGGTAATCAATCATACAAAAAAAATAATTAATATTTCATTTATTTATTTAATTTTAAAAAATATTCCAAATATTAAAGAATGAGATTTAAAAGAATGTGTTATTTAATCATATAAGTTAGTGCTGTATGACTAATCATTTTAATTTTAATTATTTTTTATACAAAAACCCAAAAGTATATTGAAGAGTACCGCATTACTAGTAAAGTAAAATCAAAGTCTATTGGTTATAATATCCATAAATACTTATAAAGATGCTACTGATACCCAAATAAACTAATTTTTATTAGAGTAAAGATTCAAATAATTAAACAACATGCATTAAAAAGTTATACTGTACAAAAAATATAAATAATAGACTACTGCTGTGATTATTATAAATATTTCCTATTAGTTTTTGTTTGGAACTAGTAAGAATAATATTAAAATTAATAATATAAGTTATAACAAAAATATTAATATATAATTACATAAAAATAATTAATTACTATTATTTACAAAACAACTGAGAAATATGTTTTCAATTAAATTTAATATATTTTTGAAAAATATTATTACAAATCGACATTAATAAAGTTTTAATTTCAAAATGTCAATTCAATTTAAAACCATATAAAATGTTTTAAAATATTAATATAAATGTATTCTTCTTATCAATAAATGTTTTTGGTGTCAAATATCGTCTTAACAAATATGATAACAAAGTTGTTTTTTATATTGATTAAGTTGAAATTTTATTAAAATAAAACATTAATCTGTATTAAATTATTAATTTAAAATTAATATCAAATCTTGAAGTCTTTATTTTAGTTTAAAAGTTTATTTATTAAAATAAAAATACTGTATGTGTAAAATATTGTTATGTAAATTTACGGAAATAATTGTTTTTAAACAATTAATAAAACACTAATTGATATATAATTTATTGTATTTTTCACATGAATTTATCACCTGTTCGGAGTTATAATTATATTTTAATCAATTAAATAACTATTTCACAAAATGGTAATCATAATAAAAATACTTAGGACTTATTTGACCTTAATATACAATGTTTGACATAATAATTACATTAATGGTCACATATCTCAACAAATTATCCATTGATTTTGACTTTTACTTTGAACACATTTTCCTCTAGACTTATCATATCTCGTAAAAAATAATTTTTTGTGTCTGATTTTTTAAACCAAAAATCATTTTAATTTTACAGTTATATAACATTGAAAATTTTATACAAATAATAAAACCAATACAATAATACTTAAAATTGCTCAAATAGTACTGTACATGTATTAGAAAATAAAAGTTATATATTCAGTGCATGTTAATGACATTTCAAAATTCTCTCACAATTACATTGACATTCAAAAAACACTTTTATTGTGAAATATATTTATTGTTTAGTTATGGAGAAGTTTTTCCTCCAATTAGTTTAAATGTAAAAAAGTTTTATAATTTTATAATACAATAATAAGAAGTTTCCCGCTTTCTATTACATGTATCGGAAATATAGCTTTCAGTACAACAAATATAATAAATTAATTATTCTTAAGAAACAAAATCAGATTATTATTATTACATAAAATACTGTATAATACAAAATCGCACACAAAATAAAAGGAAAAATAGGTCCACAAATGCCAGTGCAATAGGAACAGTGGTTTTGCAGTGGGAAACCAAAAGTTCACCTGAAAAATGGGAAAATCATTTTTTCCTTTCCATATGATATGGTTAGGTGTCTGTGCTTTTTGGTGAACCCGTGTTTCTCTCACCCATTCATACACTCATTAGAGGTATTGTAAATTCATTGACGCGTTTCACCAGTGAATTAAACTCAATGCTTATGATTATTATAGAGAGAACTGGGAGTCAATGGTTATTATGAGCCCCCAAAAGACACTCAATTATTAAAACAAATAAATTGTGTGTATTATCGTCTAATTGAATATAATAGTTATAAATAATTAGGACTCTGTTTAGCCAGTGAGCCGTAAAAGTGCTTATCTTTTTGTCTTTTTGTTTTTATTGAAAACAAACTATTAGTGAGAGAAAAGTATATAAAAAATAAGATTTATACTTTTCTTATGATAGAAGTATTTTGAGCAGTATTTTGTATACAAAGTCTTGTATGGTATTAAATTCCTGTTTACTTTAGCTTTAATATAAAAATTGAAAATGAATTTCTATATTGTGACAATTTTATTGGTATGTGTTATGTGTGTGAATATATCACCCATTGGTGGCCAATACTACCCGCATAGGAATAATCAGGGTTATAATGCCCGTCCGTATGATAATCCATTTCAAAGAGCCTATGAAAATCAAGGTATGTATGGATACTGTCATCCAAAATGATTTTTTGTCATTTATCAATAAATTATCTCCAATTATTTAAACAAATTTTTGATACCAATTTAAATAAATAATCTCTAATTTTATCAAAAAAGCAAATTTTATTTATTTCTGCTGATCAGACAATTGATAATTACATACTGACAGTACATTATTAAATTTACCAAAAGTAGTATACTGTTTAATGAAATTGGTTATAATAAAGTCTTTTTATTAAACTTTAATATCAGTTCAAAAGTTATTCTTAAGCACAAACTTTTCTCATTTAAATCAAAGTTATTTACGTATTTTGAGACCTTTATAAATATCTAAAACACTGATTATAAAGCATTAATAGAGAAAATGTATTATTAATTAAAATCTGATTTTAGTTTTACGTAAGTGCTCTAAATATTCAATAAGTCATCTGTTTAAAACACATTATATCCGCTGATAATTGCAATCATATGTCTATTGACTTCACATTTGAATACTTATACAAGAAATAGTTATCTATAAATTAATCACAAAAAAGTGTTGGGAATAAAGTCGTGTTAACAAGTTTTGACAGAAATTTCATTTAGATTTACATTAATGTCGAACAAGAAATTAATTGAAATTTAATAATTTGCTATTCACTTATACTGTATCTCAACAAAAAAGATATCTCAAATATTTTTAAATATTTAAATAAAACATTGAATAAGTTTAGCAAAATCTCTAACAAATTACTTATTATCAAAAACTTAATCAGAAACTCATTATAATTTAAGAATTATATTATAAATAAATAAAACTTGCTAATATATAGTAGTCAACAAAAATTGTTATTTACAATAAATTTAATATAATATTAATATTTGTTATTTAGGTGTTGTTTACGAAAGGTTTACAGATTACGGATCCCAGAAACGAAAGCCATACTCACGAGTAACTCAAAGCCAAAACGCATTCAATCATAAAAATAATGATAACAACGATAAGAGCGACGAAGAGTTCGGCAGTTTTGAGGGCGAAGACGACCCGGAGATTAATTTTGGCTCAAATCTGGACTACAATGACGTCTCCGGCGGCAAAGACTTTGATCCATTCAAATACGTAAGCGATGGCGTCGGAAGTTTCGGTGATAATCTAGACTTTGACAGCTATTTCAATAACGATGACAATTACCGCAAATAAATCACGACCAATAAGTTTAATCCTTGTTAAATTATAAACTACAGTATTGTAGAGATAACCAGGGTATATTAGAGGTTTGCGTTAAAAGTGTGATTAACCCTTACTTTATTGCAATCAAATATTTATAGTTTTCCAATTAATAAGTCTTTCAAATTGATTTTACAATTATAATGTGATTATAATGCTATTTTCCTGAAAGTTGTGGCATTTTTCATGACACTACTATATCCCAAAAACCTCTAAACCAATTAGCCTGGACATCTCTATGCAATGCATTGTTCCTGTTATCAGCATTTATTTCCCATATAATATCCTGTTCTATAAAACTTTAATCTCTTTTTTCAATGATTTATTAAATTATTTATTTTATTTAAAAACTTTTATTTTATATTTTAAGTACATTTTGTCTGCTATTAATGAAACCGTTATTATCGGACTCGCAGTCTGTTGTATAGCATATAATATGTGATAAAATAAAAAACTATTTTATTGAATAAAATTTTGTTTGGCTAATCATTTATTTATATTAAACTACTCTTAACTTCACTCCTTTTTTGGGGGCAATATTTGAATGAAATAAATGATTAGATAATGAAAAACAGAGAGAAAAGCAATAAATAGTTTTTCATTTGGATTTCTGAACGAGAGTTTTGTTCAAAAAGTTTTTGAATCACAACTGTATTTAAGTTGTTTTGACATTAAAGTCGAGACCAAAACAATTTAATCGGAAAAGTGTTTCAAAAGTATTGCACAAAACATAATCAACATTATCATCGATTTGGACAGTCATTGAAATCGACAAAGAAATGGTGATTTGGTCACAAAGACAAAGAGCCGATACGCTGTCCACTAATGACACGGAAAAGACCATTAAGAAGGAGATGGACGTCAATGTGATCGACGGACTGAAGTGGTTGTATGAGTCGCGAGTACTTCCACTGGAAAGGCATTATCTCTTCGACGAGTTTCATTCGCCACCTCTGGAGGCGTCATATTTCGAGGCCAAGCCGTCCATTCTGATGGTCGGCCAGTACTCGACCGGTAAGACAACGTTCATCAAGTACTTGCTGGAGAAGGAGTACCCGGGTATGAGAATAGGACCCGAGCCCACGACCGACCGGTTCATAGCAGTCATGCATAACTCCATCGATGGCCTCATTCCGGGCAACGCTCTCGTCATTGATGCCGACAAACAGTTCAGACAATTAGCGAAGTTTGGGAACCCTTTCCTCAATCGGCTGCAGATCTCGGAAACGGATAGTCAGGTGTTGGAGAGCCTGTCGTTCATCGACACACCGGGCATACTGTCGGGCGAGAAGCAGCGCACAGACAGGGGATACGACTTCACGGGTGTCCTCCAGTGGTTCGCCGAACGGGTCGACCGGATTGTCCTCATGTTTGACGCCAACAAACTCGACATTTCCGATGAGATGAAGAGTGCCATCGAAGCCCTTCGTGGACACGACGACAAGATGAGGATAATCCTCAACAAAGCCGATAGTGTGACCCCAAACCAGTTGATGCGAGTGTACGGCGCCCTCATGTGGTCGTTGGCCAAAGTGCTGCGAATGCCGGAAGCCGTGCGGGTATACATCGGCTCCTTCTGGGACCGACCCCTGGAGTACGACTACAATCGGCGCCTCTTTGAAACCGAAGAGCAGGAGCTGTTCAACGATCTCATGACACTTCCCAAGAACGCGAGGCTCCGGCTGTTGAATGATTTGATCAAAAGGACCCAATCGGCCAAAGTTCATGCACTGGTAGTCTCGGAGCTGAGGCGACACATGCCTCTCGTGTTGAATAAGAAGAACAAACAGAAAGAGCTGATCCAACGGTTGGGCGCCATATACAATGATATTAGGCACCGGTATGGCGTCCCTATCAGCGACTTCCCCGACGTCGAGTCAATGCAACAGAAGCTCAAAGACGTTGATTTCAATCGCTTTCATTCGTACAGTAAAACACTTTTCGCTCAAATCGACCAAATGATGGCCAGAGATGTGCCGAAACTGATGGCGCAGATCGTGTCCGAGCAGATGAGCGCACCGGTAGACCAGTTGACAGTCAGAGGCGGAAGGTTTGATGTGTTAAACAGAGAGCCCTTCGGTTACCTAAAGGGCGAGGGAATGGACGCCGGGTCTGACGGCGCCGATTGGATCGTCTCAAAGGACCGACACATCTATGATAAGGCGTTCGCAACGCTGTCTCCCATTAACGGAAAGATATCTTCAGTGAGAGTGAAGGCAGAGATGATTAGATCCAAACTTCCCACTAGTGTTCTCAGTAAGATCTATAGGCTGTCCGATGTGGACGGGGATGGGCTGCTGGACGGCGATGAGTACGCGCTGGCCATGCATTTGATGGCAATCAAACTGGACGGATACGATCTGCCCCTTCAGTTGCCCACACATCTCATCCCACCGTCAAAAAGGGACACAAAACTGTAAATACAAAAGGCTTTCCCTTTGCTAAGGTTTAGGATTTTAACAAATTATTCAAATTTTATTCCGACTCTTAATTTATATCTAAATGTATACTGTATCTGTATTGTATATCTGAAAATTATATGAAAATATTATAGCAAATAAAAAATATTGTAATTTATTCTTGTACAACATTAATTTACAATTAATTTCAACAGTATCATTTAAAGTTCTATGACTAGAATTTAGTTAGCTTAGTTTAAATCAAATATTAAACTCTTGACCGAGGTATCACAAATTAAAGTAACTTAAATTATATTGCTAAGTTTTAAATGAGAGTTATACAATTGAATCCTTATTAATGGTAGAGATGGGAGTCTTAGTGTTATGATTGAGATTTAATTTGTGGTGATTGAACATAAAGTTGAGACCCAAGTCATTGGTCTTAACGATCAGACAAATCAATGCAAACACCCTCCAGAAGATTGTCTGCATCACCAGTAGAGTCATATTCATCTGAAAGCTATCTTCAGTGAGTTTCATGCGATACAATATGGATGAGTAGTGATTGAGTTGGGCGTCACATCTGTTGAAGCCATAGATGGCATATATCTGAGATTCAAACGACGCCTTCACGTACGATATGTTTGCTATGAATTGCATGAATCGGTTCATCTCAGCGACCGGTAACAAAAAGCCGCTGAACAGTGTGTTCAAGAGATTGCCTCCGATTCCTAATATAAGGGTTGTCCGTAAATTTTTGGTCGATATTATACTGAACGCGTAGGACATGCCCTGAGAGCATAGGGTGGACAGTATCATCGACAGTAAGTAATAGCCTGGAAGTTTATAAAAAAAATTACCTAATCATCAAAATACTAATCAATAAATTGATTATTTATTACCAAAACGCTTTCCATAGAGGGCTCCGATCTGTGCAGTGACTAAATATATGGTCACTGAGAAGACAACAGTGATAACGGCTCCCAAGAAGGCGTCCACCAGATTCTTAGCCCAATAGTAGGAACCGGAGGAATACCACCG